TTATTAAAGAGCCAGCCATTGACGCTGCTACACGAGTTCCACGCTCAAGAGCCATTGTAAGAGATTAAAGGGTTTTTAGGTTCTTTTTCCTTTCCTTTTCTTTTTTTGATAAAACATACACACAGCTGTTAGCATAATGTTACAGGGAGCATTTTCCAGAATGCTCAGCAGTTGTGATTAACTGCCAAGCCCAGGTTGCCTCTCGTTAGGCAATTGAAGGAATCCCGTGTTCATGACAGCACGGGTGCTGTGTGTGTGTGCGCGCTTGTGTGCATTCATGCCTTAACTCGGGTTACTGCTCAACTTTGGTTCTTGACTTAGTCTGCACCGTCATCTAGATTGTATTGTACATCACAGTCTGAACTTCATCCTGGCAAAAACAAAAGTTGCAGGCACAACAGTTTAAGAATGCATTCCTCCGAAAGAGTATCTGGTCAGGTTGACCCTGAGCCTTCTTTGGACTTTATTTGGAACTTAGCCTGGAAAGCAAACGTGGACTGTCAAATGGAAAGATGTCAACAAGGCAGAGAGGAGAGCCGAGTGCTAGCATGCCTTTGCCTCTGCTTATGTGTGCACACTGTGTGTCGTTCATGGTAGCTTGTCTACAACTTGACTAGGTTGGACTTCTGCTAATAGTGGCAATCTTGACATTCTTGTCAGAGTTTAGAGAGATGTAAGACTTCTAGTTAATGTCTTATTTACTTCTTTATGTTGATTAGTCTTTGATACATGTGCTGAATCAGAAACCTAAATAAAGATAATTTTTTAAAATGTACCTCTTGAGCTTTGAACCCTATCTCTTTCTTTCTGGTCTTTGAGTCGGAAAACAAACGTTGTTTCCCTGTTGCTTCTCACAAACATCTCACTTAGATTCTAATCTCTAAAGGCTGTCTTAGGAAGATGGCACAAAAGGGGCTATTATGGTTTTCTTTTCTTTTTTGGCAGTTGGCTGGTACAAGGATCCGAACCCTTGACCTTGGTGTTGTAATACTGCACTCTTTGTTTCTTAATCAGGGTTGTGGCTACCTGGATTATTGAGTTTTTGAAAATTCATTGAGCTGTACACTTATGATTTGTGTACTGTTCCAGATCTGTGTTGTATTTCAATTTAAAACAGTAAACCTAGGAGATTACGAAAAGGAAAGGAAACCTTTCACCAAGTGTTACATATAAACACACACACACACACACACACACACACACAGGCTTTGGATGTCACATTTGGTATATCAGTGAGTTTATCCTTAAAAGTTTCAATCTATCTGTCC